ATAAGGGTGGGGAGGGAAAAATGTCTTTGGTGGTGGGGTCGGATTGTCGATGGCGGAAGTGTCGGAGGATGATGCGTTGGATCCGGAGGTTGATGGGGTGGTACGTGAGGACGATTCTGTTTTGGTTGTTATTGTGGGGAGGGGGTGTGAGGGATGAGTTGTGGGAAATGCGGGAGACACAGTCGAGAGCGTTCTCGACCACTGAGGGGGGGAAGTTGCAGTCCTTGAAAAACGAGGACATCTGAGATGTACGGGAATGGAATGCCTCATCCTGGGAGCAGATGCGGCGGAGGTGAAGGAATTGGGAATAGGGGATGGCATTTTTGCAGGAAGGTGGGTGGGAGGAGGTGTATTCTAGGTAGCTGTGGGTGTCAGTGGGCTTGAAATGGATATCGGTTTCTAGGTGGTTGCCGGAGATGGAGACAGAGAGGTCCAGGAAGGAGAGAGAGGTATTAGAGATGGTCCAGGTGAACTTAAGGATGGGGTGGAAGGTGTTGGTGAAGTGGATGAACTGTTCGAGCTCCTCATGGGAGCACGAGGCGGTGCCAATACAGTCAATGTAACGGAGGAAGAGGTGGGGTTTAGGGCCAGTGTAGGTACGGAAGAGGGATTGTTTCACGTAACCTACAAAGAGGCAGGCATAGCTTGGGCCCATGCGGGTACCCATGGCCACCCCCTTTGTCTGTAGGAAGTGGGAGGAATTGAAAGAGAAGTTGTTGAGGATGAGGATGATTCGGCTAAGTGGATGAGGGTGTCAGTGGAGGGGGACTGGTCGGGCCTGCGGGACAGGAAGAAGCGGAGCGCCTTTAGGCCATCTGTATGGGGAATGCAGGTGTATAGGGACTGGACATCCATGGTAAAGATGAGGTGTTGGGGACCCATCTGCTAATGTCGTATACTGCATCCGCTGTTCCCGTTGTGGCCTCCTCTACATCGGGGAAACCAAGTGGATGCTTGGGGACTGCTTTGCAGAACACCTACACTCGGTTCGCACTAAACAACTGCACCTCCCAGTCGCGAACCATTTCAACTCCCCCTCATTCCGCAGACGACATGTCCATCCTGGGCCCCCTGCAGTGCCACAACGATGCTACCCAAAGGTTGCAGGAACAGCAACTCATATTCCGCTTGGGAACCCTGCAGCCCAATGGTATCAATGTGGACTTCACAAGCTTCAAAATCTCCCCTCCCTCTACCGCATCCCAAAACCAGCCCAGCTCATCCCCACCTCCCTAACCTGTCCGTCCTCCCACCTATCCCCTCCTCCCATCTCAAGCCCCACTCCCATCTCCTACCTACTAACCTCATCCCGCCCCCTTGACTTGTCCGTCCTCCCTGGACTGACTTATCTCCTCCCTACCTCCCCACCTACACTCACCTTTACTGGCTCCATCCCCGCCTCTTTGACCTGTCTGTCTCCTCTCCACCTATCTTCTCCTCTATCCATCTTCTATCCGCCTTCCCCTCTATCCCTATTTATTTCAGAACCCCCTTCCCCTCCTCCATTTCTGAAGAAGGGTCTAGGCCTGAAACGTCAGCCTTCCTGCTCCTCTGATGCTGCTTGGCCTGCTGTTTGGCATCCAGTTCTACACCTTGTTATCTCAGAGACACATGCAACGTACTTTTCTAGTGTGATTCATTGACAAAATCATAAAAGTCATATCATCCCAAACTTGAGTTCTTTGCTGATTGTTTGGTAAACTAATGACTGTAATTTATGAGGTGCAGTGTGGGCAAATATTTCATAATGGCCAACTAACACTACGTAAGACAAAGCAGCTGCTTCGATAGTTGACTGCCCTTCAATTTTCATGGATGCTAACTTCCTCAAACAGTACAGCAGAAAGAATTTTGTGGTATATTTTTGCTCCCTTCATTAATCCTCCTCCAATTCTTTCACACCCAATTAATGTATACTATCATTTATTTCCAACCAGGGCAGATACTCTTTAAGGTCCCCTATGAGCTCCAAGTTATTACTGTTGAGAGGCAATGAGATGTGCTTCCATTAAGAAAACATAAGTTGTGTCATTTTTGTTCCCAGTGTAACACCAATATCTGTCAATTTAACTACTATCTGGCAAAACCACCAGAAATATTGCATAGTGGATGACAGTGCTGGACTCCATTGCAATGGAGCTCCATTTTATTAGGAAGTATCAAGGCAATTTTTTTTTGACACTTGACAGTAGAAAATAACAATGTATGTGAAATCCTTCAATGTGCATCCTGAAATCACTGAATGCATGGGGTTTGCTAATATGAATTTATGGAAATTGTGAATTCAAATCCCACCATGATAACTTCTTGAATAAATGTGATGGCACTGGAAAACATTACCATGAAAACTGTTGTATTGTCATTGAAATCCCAGTTAGTTAATATGTGTCTATCAAGGAAAGGAACCTGCCAACCCTACTTGGTCTGGCCTGCATATTGCTTGAGCCCTACACTACGTTGCCCTGAGGCAACTTGTAATGGGTGGTAAAAGCTGGCTTTCAGCATCACCCAGATCCTACACACAATTAAGAACAAATTTTCCCAAATAAAATGAGACCACATCGCTACAATTATTTTTCTACAGTCTACTTCCCAAATATGTAAATATAACTTTCTATTTTGTTAGCCTTTTGGTTTCAAACAAACAAATACGATAAACATTTCTCTAGATTTGTGACACCGCTATGATATTGGGCACAAAATAAAACATTATTCTCAAATGTAATGTTGAATGTGTCTTTTTTTTTAATTGCTTAAAGTTAAATAAAACAAGAAAAAGAAAACAAACACAGTTCTAATGTGACCACATATGAAATGAGCAGAACTCACCTTGTAACCACCACAGGTTAAACCAGCATTCCTCTTTGCCAAGACACATTTCATCCTCACAAAGAAAGACCGTTCAATTTCATATTCTGTTAAAATACACAATAAGAGTTTACAATAGTATTGTGGTAGCAGGCTGGTGGGAATTGCATGGAGAAGAGTTGAGGGGTTATAGGGGGATAAGCCTCCAGAAATGAAAAACATGAGCACAAGTATGAATGTATGAGAATAGATTCAGTGTACCTTGAACAAAATGAGAGTGGTAGGGCTGGTGAGCTGTTAGAACTGCAGTCATTTCATCATGATCAGCAGGGTGGATGTACTCATAAATACTGTTTCCAGTCAGCTCCACCTGTTAACATCATGAACACTTTTAAACATTCCTTGAAAACAGTTTCATAATAAAATAGATGTATCATATGTGTATTCAATTGTACATTGTCATTTTAAGAAACCTACCAAAATGGAAATCATTTACTTCTATACTGCATCCAATAAATTTAAGCAATCTAAAGAAATCACTTCAAATGTACTTATTTTGCACTCTTTTTATGCTTGTTTGCATTCCATGAATACTAATTAGTTGTGGCCTTTTACAGATTCTTTATTCCATGATATTTTTTGCCAAGTTTTTGTAACAGCCAAAAGTGGAAGATAAAAAAGCAGTAGAGAAACTTCAAAAATTTAAATCAAAACAAATACATTGGAAAAGCTAGGTCTGATTGTGCATTTGTACATTCTCTTCGCAGTCTCACATAAATTTGCATATTTCAAATATTGCAGACAAAAATTGCTAGTGATTTTAAAGTCCATGATTTGTAATCAAGATACAAGAAAGTGGATCTTACAACTTTCTCAGGGGCGACTGGGAATGGGCAATAAATAGTGGGCAGTAATGCCCACATTCCAAGAAAGATTTTTTTTTTCAAATCAACATGTTAAAGGTGCTTTCCACACATATTGATATTGATCCTTCCAGGCTTATGGGCATCCCCATTGCTGAACTCTATGATATTAGCCCTGAGTATTCACAAACAATTTATTACCCATTTGCCACATTAATAGAACATTGTCATCTTATTAATGATTTTCAGCAACATTATGGAAACAATGTGGTGGGCACAATTGATGAGGTCACAGCTCCAGTCTTCTAAATGTCATGGTAGTCTGTTTTCAAGAAAGACTCTAGTTGTAAATAAGAATTGTAATTGTTCAGCAAAACAACATACTTATTTGTCCAATTATACAGTTAGATGAATTGGTTTGATGTTGGTTAATAATTTAAGCTTCATGGAATCTAAAAAAAATATTATTTTGTTACTACACCAATGTCATTAATGCAATAAGTGAATCCTGAAGTGTTATCCTGACCATTTATTTATGCTCTACAAATATTTTGTTAGACTCTGTATATTCTATTATGGAGAAAGTTTCATCTGTTTTGCAATTAATGCACTGTTTTGCAATTATAAAATAGCACTGGATCTGAAAAGACTTGAATTGGAATTTATATTTTAGATAACGGATAGGCATAGGTATTGATGTAACATACTGTAATTATGATACTTGCCAACATATGACATTGTAATTTTTTAAGATTGAATATTTAGAACTGAGCATTTTTTTGTATTGGATGTTAAATTTATAACAATTTTAGAACACAATTCAAACGCACAACCACTAAACAGTGGATCCTATCGATAATCCTACAGATTAACACACACTACCTCACACAAAATCTGGAGTGGCAATCTTACATTTGATTTGCTCAGATTTAATGAAGTCAACGAGAAAGGCAACCAAAATGTTACAGTGGAATATGTTTGTTTCACAGTGATGCTTTATCCTGGGCATATTTTTGTGAGTTTTGTTAGTCTTGTCTGCCATTGTATTTTTTCAAATGAATCTGATGGTGAATGAAAGCAAAGGAGCAGCGAGATTGGATGTTTGCGCCAGCAGCACCTGACATCGATGTGGGTCAGTCCTCGCTGCATCAACTTGAAAAGCAGCAATCTCTACAAATGATTCTGAATGATGTGAGCTCACAGCAGAAATGATCATCTGAGAGATTCATCATGATTCCGGTAGAGATAGGGGGCGGTGATTGAATTTAAATAGAGGTCTTCATTATGTTCCGCCATATATGTTAAATATCTAAACGAATCTTTTCTGGAAAAAAAGCTACTTAATGTGAGCGAGTTTATCGATATTATTAGGTGATCATATGCAGAAGACGGATGGCTTCACATTTGCACGTACATATTCTAGCCACCGAAGAGAAATGGAGGGAGAGATGTCCTGACCTACCTGTGACAGTCCCAAATGAACTGACGCCGTCTCCGAGATGTACATAATTTTCCCATCCGGGGCCAACACGAAAATAAAGCCGTCCAGGGTCTGCAGGTCCAGAAACAATCACACAAATGCATCACTGGCTGAGCATGTTGGCTTCATTCTAAACAATATTCCGTTCGGTTTGATTTCCGCGAGAAATATTCTGCCCTTTCCCTGCCTGTTGTTTCCCGAGACAGCGGCAGTCGGTATTCTGCGGGGGGAACGCGCCGCGCCCCCATCTTGTAATTAGTTACGGGGCACATGAAAGAAGTGGTTTACCGAGCCGTGAAACTGAACGCATTCTGACTTGTTGGTGAAATGTTCAGAAAGATTGCTTGAACTTTAGCCAGATGTTTAACCTCAAAACAGAACGCGGGGGAACAATCCAGCTATAAAATATACAGCACTTGTGTTCTAACAGAGCGTTTGTTTTTCTCTTGTTCACAGTGTATGTCAAATATTTCTCGTCCACGTCAGAAATGTTGTATATTTTACACTAAGAATCGAATAAATGTGGTGACAGCTTATTCGTGCATCCGGCTTTGTTTCTTTTTACTATAACGAAATGTTGTGTGTACCTCTTAAAAACTCCACACGTTATTAGTATACCAGTAATGGAGACAACTGTTGTTTTATTCTGCAAATAATTGGCTCTTCCGGTTCCCAATTCGAAAAAACCACAGCCATCCTTGTGATATCACGCCAACAGCGTGAGATCAATTCCCAGCTGAGGTTAACATTCTCCTTCTCAACCTTTCCCGTCGTCTAATGTGTGGTGACCCTCGGGTTAAATTCACCACCAGTCTTCTTTCTCTCTCTCTCTCTCTAATGAAAGAGCAGCCCTTTGATCTGGTAAGACCACAGCGACTTTTACCTGTGTGTGTAACTGTGTTTACACTTCCTTTTTTGGAGTCAGAGTCATACAGCATGGAAACAGACCCTTCGGTCCAATCAGTCCATGCCAACTACGTTCCCAAACTGAACTGGTCCCACCTGCCTGCGCTTGCCCATGTCCCTCCAAACCTTTCTTATTCATGTACTTATCCAAATGTCTTTTAAATGTTGTAACTGTACCTGCCATCCACCACTTCCTCTGTCAGTTCATTCCGCACACGAACCATTCTCTGTGTAAAAAAGTTGCCCCGGTCCTTTTTAAATCTTTCTCCTCTCACCTTAAAAATATGCCCCTTAGTTTTGAATTCCCCCGCCTTAGGGAAAAGATCATTGTCATTCACCTTATCGGAAAACGCATTTACAAGTCATTGTTTGGATTTAAAAAAAAAGTTATTTACTACAATTATTAAGTGGAAGCTGGTGTTCGTTTGACAGTAGCCTTTGAATGCACTGTTCAATATTCTGCACATTAGCGGGCCTCAGCGAAACAAACCCCTAACTTGCATCAAAAATATTCGTTTAAAGCCAAATTTGCACTAAACATATTCCAGTAGCAACAAATAATGATGGCGGTAGTTCCTTCTCCCTTTGAGATTTGCCTTTTTTAATGTTAAAGAGGCACGAAGGACTTTCTTTCTGGGCGCTGGCTGGAACCCGGGCCGCTCGGAAACTTTGGGGGTGGGATGGGGGCGGTGGTGCGGTGGTGTGGATCGCCTTCAAACATGGAATTGACAATTAAGAATTGATCATCATCCGAGAGCAGGGGTCTGGGACATGGCACAAACGTGCGGCCTTTGCCTACACCTTTATCTGACTGCCGGTGTCAAGCTTATAGGTCTAAGTTATTAAGTGGAGTCCCCATCTTGGTACCACCGACGTTTGCTTTCCTGGGAATAAATGACACACACACACACACACACACACAAATACTGCCTGTCATACACATGACGCTCTCTGCAAGGGACAATGTTTTCGTTTACCTGCAACAGGTGGGACCCCAATTCTCGGCTGACGTTATCCAAGTGGCCAGTGCGACTGGTCTGGCCCCAGGCCTCTCCCAGACCTGCAGGGGAAACGGAGAACAGTAAGAAACTGTACCAGGCACGGCTTAAAGTTGACAGGCCAGCAGCCCCCAGCAGTTGCACATTGAAATGCGCCGGAGCGGATCAGGGGCGAGATTTATCTCTGAATAATTCTTCCCGCTTTATTTCAGGGTCGTTGGGAAAGCACTCTTTTTTGTGTTGTTGTTGGGGTGCGAGGTGGCGGGGAGGGGCGTGAGACAGAGTCTCTGAACTGTGATGTTTTATTGTACATTTCCGAATAATCAGTTCGTTTGGATTACATGAATGTGGGGAAATGATTAGATGCTTAAACAAAGATACGGCAAAACCAGTGTAACCATGTGCATGGGCTCAGTGTAATGTGGCGTCAGTTTTCCAAATAATAATCGGAAAACCGTAATTGTGTTTAATATTTAACGTAACTATATAAAATGGGGATTAGTGGACATCCTAAGTGCATGTCGAGAGCTCAGTGATATTTGAATAAATATTTGCTGTTTTTATATTGACAGCGATCCCTTTTATTATATTTCATTCGTGTTTGACGAGGGTTATCGAGGTCGAATATAAAGAAGCCCCACTCCCTGGGACACACGGGAAAGCAGTGCGTGAATCTTCATTCTCCATCAGAATCAGGACTCACAAAGACATTATTCTCATTTATTGAAGGAAAACATTCAAACAGAGCTCGGCATTTCTTAACTGGCGCGCCTTTTTTTTTCTCTCGCTGATCTCTGGCGTTTTCCTGTGACAAACAGTCTGCCACACATTGCGGTAGAACTAACCACTGGGGAGCAGAGGTTGGATGGGAGGGGGTCCCTAATGGATTGGGGGGGGGGTCCCTATTACGGACTCATATCTTTACCAGACACCCACATTAAATTGGACGGTGCTACAGCGCCTGGGAGAAAAACTGAATTAGCTCCACGCAGCAATAGATGGTGCGAGCAATTGCAGACAGAAAGTGTCCAGTGTCAGAACAGGTGTCGTTTTCCCTCAAAATAGCCCTGCTCGGGATTTCTGGATGCTGGGTTTCTGTATTACAACAGAGCAGAAGGAGAAAGAAATCGTCGAGATTCTTTAGTCTGAACTAAAATACTGAGCGGGGACAACACCAGGGCGTCTCCTCTAACCTGTGAAGAACGGGGAATGAATCGATATTAATGTCCCATTAAAAAAAAACAGCTTGGCCCTGTTTTTTGTAACCAAGCTACGGTGCAAGTGTGTGCACAAAGTGGAGCCGTTTTCTTTAAACCGCCTTGCATACATTTTAGTCAGAATTCAATCGGTCGATAAAATTAAAACTGATAAACCGAAAGCAGGTAGCAATCGAAAGCAGTTTTGAGATGTCCATCTAAACTCGGAATTAAACAATGCGCCGTTTAGTTCCTAATTCTGTGCGCATTATGGTTTCATTTATTCTGTTCATTCAATTCACTTGGTGATTCGAAACCTCGTTCTGTGGGATTAATTCTCACACGCGAAGGTTAGGTGTGTGCACACAGCATTCGCCAGGGATTATTTAATCATTTTAATGAAAAAACAAACTCCTGCATCACCCCCACCCAGTCCCCCTTCTCCCCCCACCACGCCAAACCGAACCCGTTCTCTTTGCTAAAGACGCGAAGTTCTGCAGATTTGGGGCCATTCCCTCGGCAACACTGTCCCCCGACCCTTTTCTTTTGTTCACAAGGCGACTCCGCTTACCCTCTCCCCATGACCCCCCCACCGAACGAGAGCCCTCAGCGCTTTGTCGCCAACTAAAACCGAGCGGGAGGGGGGGCGTGGGAGCACTCGGTGTGTTTGTTTCGCCTGCCGCAGTAAATACAATTTCCCTTCCGAATGTGTTGGCCTTTCCGGTGAAAATAAAGCATTGAAGGGGCTCAGTCCCCAATCCCGCCTCGGAAACGGCTGGCACTGCCCCCATGAGTCCCCACCTTTCGGGAGCTTCGGCAGGGTCATAGTTTTGGCGAGGAAATCTTGCGAAACGGCGCGGTGTGAACGCACACCGTGTACAAACAAAATACAACCCTCTAAGTTACATTCGGCGGTTGCAAGACAGGATTCTACCTTCTCCACCCAGCCTGGTGCAGTGCAAATTGAACAGGAGATTCCAGTAAATACTTTTATTGTTGCTAGCTCCGCACAGAGCCTGCATTGCAGACTTCTGTCTACCAAAGCACACCCATAACACCCACTCCTGAGGGACCACACGGTACCCGTTCCTGGTGCATCACTCTGCCTAGAGAGTTACACAAAGTTGATCCTGGCTGGGTTTCAGTTTAGAGCGTGATGAGTTGGGACAGTTTACGGGGGCGGCTCAGTAAACAACTTGCACGAAAATGTGAGAAATCCAAGACAGGGTCGTTCTCTTCTTGTGCCTGAAGCCCTCCGTATTTGGCCTGCACTCTGCCCTGTGTCCTGGAGAGGACAGTGAGCAATCGTCGTAAACAACTACATTTAGGGACATGTGCGTTCCAGGAAACACTGAAATATTTTAAATCAACGTCCGATGTGCCTGGAAAGTCAAGACTTCGACACCATTCCACACCTCCCTTCCTGCCCCGGATCTACGAAAGTATATGTTTTACAAACGGTGCGCTACTTAGGTAAATGGCGGGTGCGTTTTAACATTTTGCTATAGTTGGGGTCTCTCACAACGTGATCCAAGCGCGCAGAAGGTATTTTGCAGAGTAAAATAGAACAGTTACGAATGTGAAATGTTTAAAGGTTTAGATTCAAACATCAATTTGAACGCTATATTTTTAAAGCACCGCTCTTAAATGTGCTTCATTACAAAGCGTCAGTGAAAAGGGAGTGTTATTCTCCCCGTCCCCACCCCTTTATTTGGAGTAAGGCGAGTCAACCTGAGATCTCGTTTAGCGATCAACTTTAAGGAGTGTGGCTGGCTTTTCGATGATGACAGTGGGAGGTTGCTTGTCGTTCGTAGACTCTCACTATTTTCCTTCTTGACAACCGCCCAATAAGTTCCAATGTCCCAGAACATTGAAACGATGGCGCCCAGGAATTGTTCGGGACAAATAATCCAATGTAAATCATTTCCTAAACAGAAGGACGTCCAGCGAACCTCTAGTGAGGAGTTAGTCTAGAGACTGAAAAAGATGTGATTTTTGCACTTGACCTGCCGCCGAGAAGCGGCACGACCATTAGCATCGAGAGAGAGAGAGAGAGAGAGAGCTTCATTCTCTAGCGTTAGAATGGAATCAGGGCTTGAGAGGGGAGGGGGAGGGTGATGGAAGATAGTCTTGCGAACTGAAGAGGCCTGAAATGAAACAAGGTGCTTTTGTGCTTTGGTACATATAGCTGCAGCTTTTGGGAGGCGAAGGATTTTCCCAGCTCCAAGAGGCTATCAGCCATGCAGAGATGGATAATCTCCTTATATAATTCCTCGACCTCCTTCAAATTAGCCTTTCCGCGCTAAAACACTTGATTTAATAAAGAAAAAAGAACGTTGCAAAGTTATTGTATAGGTAAAGGTGACATTAAGCTGCAGGGAGCTGGTGGCTAACATGACTCTGAGTTCAAGTGAAACCTCAACGCGGACACACAGACCCGGGGGAGGGGTCTCGGATATGGGAGGTGGTGGAGGGGTTTGAGAGAAAAGTTTCTGAGAAACATCTCGACGGCGGCACCTGAAATGCACCCTGACCTGGATTACCTCAATGGACTGGACGCTTGTGTTTGGTAATTTCCTGAAAATGAGATTTCGATTTATAAAACAAGAAACCAATTAGTAACCAAATGAAGCGAAGTAGATCCAGTAAAATGGAGCGAATCCCAGGGGTGTCATTTAAGGAAGTTCTTGGCGCGTCACACAATGGTTTCTAATCAGCCTGCAGCTCGCTTCATTCTCCAGCTGAGCTTTCGGCTATCCAACAAAAAAAGTAGAGCAATCGATCCAAGTTTTCCAGGCTGAATCTCTAATTCCACATCTTTGTCTTTGAAAATCTTATTTAAAGCAGGGTTAAAAAGAATTCAGCATCTACAGAACCCTAAGTAATAATATACATTATTCGGGCTTATTAAAGGAACAGGAATCTATTCGGTGACATTTTAAGTAGTTGATTTTCAGAATTTGGATGGGACAAGTAATAACCTTAAGTAAATGTGTGGTAATTGAGTATTTTTTTAAAGGGTCTCCTATATTGTACTTTGTTTCCAGTGAAAGTGGGAGAGATTAATATTGGACCTAGGAGGCCGGTTAACACCATAGTTCCTAAAGTAATTTCATTTTCTCCTTGCTCCTTATACAAAGTCCCCGTCCTTGGATTGTTTGGCAATAAAATAAAATTCACTTCATCGTTACTTTTGTCCGTCGCTGCAGACTGGGCATGAAAGCCGCTAAAGATCTAACAAGATTTAACGCGATCGTGACTACTGGTCCTGGCTACGCCGTTAACTCAACATCATATTGCCTCTGGACCGCCCTCATTCTATAATGTTCCGAGATGGATATCCCCGCATGCTGCTCTCTTGTCAGGGTAATTCGAAGTAATAACTTATATGAGAATTGAGTGTTTTGGATTACAGTTAGTTCCTCCACCTTTATTGGAGAAAAACAAGGTAAGTAAGAAGAGATTAGCAGGTATCAAAGACACTCCCTCGGCCTATACCTGGAATCAGGGCAAATGATTGTAACAAATTAAATTTGCATAGCTCCTGTGAACAACACAAGAGCGTGCTTCAATGTCGTAGATTTCTTCCGTGTGCAGAAAAGAAGTCTAAACCTCTTCATAGAGAAGCTGTATTTAGGACTTCGCTATGCCAGCTCACGGAGGACTTCTGTCCCCCGGTTGTCGTTGTTCCTTCTTTCTGATAGCAGCCAGCTTGCCGCTGGGTGTCAGGCTGCAGGAGCACAGCGAGGAAAGGTACACATTCCAACAGAGTAAACCTGGCGCAGATGAGCCAAGCTTATCAGCCCGCCCGCTCGATGGCTCCTCGCGACACACCTCAACCCTCAGTGCAGGCAAGTCCGACATTA